TTGCATTATTATTTATAGGTTAGTGTTGTAGCTTAACTCGATTTCTCATTTTACAGTCTAGAGATAAAAACTAATTAAGTATACTCCTATTTTTATTTCGCAAATATCTAAAATAAATTCAATTGCGTCACATAACTATGCTATCGTAATTAATGTCTATTAAAGTTTTAGTTCAAATAACAAAAGCCAAATTTATTAAAATTTATTATGATAAGTCTGGACAAAACTTTTGAATTGAAACTTCAAAAGTTGTATTAAAGATTTATAAGTCCAATAAAATACGTTAACTACTGAGATTAAAGCTTTACTTTATATTCATTACATTCGGATCGGTCTGATAGTTTAACCTCTTTAGACCCGAATGTGCTGTCCAAAATTGTGTTAAGCCTTACCCAAAATTTGATTTATTATACTTTTTCATTGCTGGCAAAAACGTACTAAAAGTCAATCTCAAATAATTTCAACATATGAAAAAATTAGGCCAACAGAACTTAATAAAATTATTAATATTTATTTGTAGTTTTCGCAACAATTAATCGGACGCATATGTGGATAATGTCTTTAAAATATGTAGAAAAATGTTAATAAACTTTTGCCACTGTCTATTTAAATATAATAGCGTGTTATTGACATAAGCAGGTCATTAAAACTTACTTTACTTATGTCTGCTTAGTGGAAACTATTCTTATGACTAAACGTCGTCTCATTATTCATCATTTATTTATTTCTCTGGCATCATGCATTATAACACATGTTATGATAACCATTTAACCAAGTGGAAAAACAGCAATCATATTAACGAAATACTTCGTATTTACGGTTAGCAGTAGATAGGCGAATCGATAAACATATTAAAAACCTAAACACTTAGTACATACTTCTTCAATTTTGTAGAAGGTTGGCCTATATATATAAAGATAATCATATACACATTTATATAACATAAAGTTAAAGTTAAGTAACCCCAACACAAAAAAGTGTAAAATTAAATAAACAGCTCCGGAGTCGTGACAAAAACCATGCTTGCTTGCATGTCTACGGTTACCATGTGGCTTCGATTATCATCTGTCTAACACTGTCTCTTTGAGACAATTTACATTACACCAAAAACACTATATGTGCTGCAAGTTTCTACAGCAGCATCAGCTCAAGTTTAACATGACTTAAACATACCACCGAAGTAACAGTATACCGAATCAATGGTTTCAGTAAAATTTAGTAAGACTCTTTTTGTAAAGTAGGAAATGAGCTAATGATTATTCAAACGCCTTAACAGATCTTAATACTTAAAGAAAGAACCATCTCGATCACGTCAGCTTTCAAACAAAACACCGTACTGACACAGTCAGCCACATATAGGTACATATACCGGCACGTTAAACTTATAAAACCCCTCTTTTTACGTGGGTGTTTAAAAATATTAATATATCACCTGACCCCGACTCTGTTACCTCACTCACCAATCGAAACGCGAAAGTTTAATACTTACACTTCACACCGGTCTTCTGCGTGCAACAGCAGTAAGTGGTGCATGGCCCTACTAATATGATGATAATATTTTTTTGTTATTTTACTGATACAATCTCTTATATCTTACTTTTAGATAAAAAATCACCGAAGCTCCGGATGCAACATGTGGATGAAATGACGTCCAATCAATATGGGCATTTATACTCGGCTGTTCAAAGTGGAATTCGGAATCTACGTCTTTCTTTTTATCATCCATATTCGGATACTACAAGGAGAAGAGCAACCACAATGCCCCAGCCTCGCAGAAAATCCAATTTGTCCTTGTTACAATTTTAAAGAAGGTAAACTATAATATAGAGAACAGAAAGTTTTTTGACACTGAACAAAATGTTTAACAAGTACTTTATTTTCCTTTTAATACTTATTTAAGAATGTATTATTAAGTTTATTGTGTTTCAGGTTTATTTCTTGAATGTCCGAGCGCTACGCCTGCTGTCGTGAAAAATGTGTTGGCGAAGATAAAAGGAACTATACAGTCATTGTCAATCTACGATTTAGAAAGCTCCTTAACAGAATTGAAGTCTGAATTATTCGCTCCACACACTAAAATTATTCATTTTCAAATATCACAGTCAAATATTAAAAAAATCAGTCCTACTGCATTCTCGGCCTTACATGACTCAATACAAAGCTTGAGCTTAATATCCAGTAAATTAGGTAGAATTCCATATGATTCATTCTCAAAATTATTTAAGTTGGAAGAACTGGACTTGCAATTAAATGACATAAAGGAAATAGAAGCCAATTCTTTTAAAGACGTTAAATTGAAAAAAATCAATTTGAAAGCCAATAAGTTGTCAAGTATTTCTGATGACGCATTTCTTAATTTGGAATATTCTTTGACCGAATTAGATTTCACCGAAAATGATCTTAATGTTTTTCCTTTAACTTCTATTAAAGAACTACATCAACTTAGCACTTTAAAACTGGCTTGGAATAAAATAAGTTCAATACCAACAAATGTTAATACTACGATAAATAGTCTACTTAGTTTAGATTTAAACTCTAATCTATTTATAAAAATTGAAAGAGAATGGTTCCGTTGTATGCCAAATATTAAGACACTAGCGTTTTTTAGTAACCAAATACAAGAAATTGAAGAAGAAGCATTTTTTCCCTTAGAAAATTTAGAAAATATAGATTTAAGTAGAAACAAGCTTATAAGTTTACCAGAAAATACCTTTCAAAAGAACCACAAAATACGCACAATAGATTTAAGCTATAATCACCTACACAAAATTGAAGGGGTCTTCTCAAATCTTTTACAGCTTTCAGAAATATTTTTGTCGGATAACAATATATTAGAAATACCATTTAACGCATTTCTGAATACTCAAGGTTTAACAGTTCTAAATCTAGAGCACAACGCTTTGCAGAAGTTACAAAGCAATTGCTTTTCTTCTTTACGAAATATAACTCAACTTCACATGGGAACCAATTTTTTGAAAAATCTTCCAAATGATATTTTTAAATTCAATACGAGGCTCGTAACTCTTAGTCTTGATAACAATGAAATCATTGAACTTGATGAGTTCATTTTTAGTAGTTTATCGGATTTAAGAGAAATTAGATTGCAAAATAATAACTTAAAACATATTAAACGTAATGTTTTTAGTCCATTGCCCGGACTACTAGAGTTACATTTACAAAATAACTTTATTACAACAATTGAATCCCATGCATTTATAACTCTTAGAAAACTTCAACACATAAATTTACAAGGAAATATTCTAACTACAATTGGAGATATATTTCCTAACAGGAATTCCTCGTTGGTATCGATCCAACTTAGTGCAAATGTTTTAAATTTACTTAAGAACAGCTCACTTGAAGGGCAGATAAATGTGCAAATAATGTGGCTTACAAACAATAACATTAAAGCTTTAAATGCTCATATTTTCAATGATTTATTAAACATTCAAAGGCTATACTTAATAAATAACACAATAATGCAAATTGAAAATAAAACATTTTCTAAATTAAAAAAAATCAGATATTTAGACTTAAGTGATAATAGGATCACGGGATTGAACAACGAAACTTTCTTTAATCTGACATCTTTGGAAGAACTATACTTGCAAATCAACCATATAAGACATATTGCTAAAGACACGTTTCAATCTCTATTAAAACTTAAAGTTCTTGATCTATCTGAAAACAAAATAACACATTTAGACATATTTCTCTCCTCACTTCCTATCAAACACCTAAGAATTAACAACAATTCTATTTCAATCATTGAAACTAATTCATTAAAAACATTGCCCAATTTAAGCGACTTAGAATTGAGCAATAACTTTCTTAATTGGAAAAATGTTATGGAAGTTCAAATACCTGTATTGAAATCATTAGTTATTTCGAAAAATGATTTTACTGTTCTAGAGAATACAACATTTGCCCAATTACCTTCATTACAATCATTGACAATAGAAATGTCCAACATATCGCAGTTACGTCCAGCGACATTTATTAAAAATCAAAATTTATTACGAATAAACTTAGCATTCAATATGCTAAAGGATTTGCATAAAGATGTATTTGCATATACAACAATTTTACAGGAGTTAAATTTAAAAGGAAATAATTTAGCTGATTTTCCACATGTTGCGCTTTTTAATGTGTCTTCTCTAGAAGTATTAGATTTATGTGAAAATCACTTACAAAGTATTGATTTTTTCAAATTTGTTGGATTACAAAATTTAAGAATTTTAAATTTATGCAAAAACCAAATTTCGATTTTGAATGGATTTAACTCTCCCGCCTTAAAAAATTTAGTAGCGTTAAATTTGAATAATAATTTATTGACAGTTCTTCCACCAAATTTTTTCCAACACTCAATAGGTTTAAAAGAAATTGATTTATCTCATAACCTTTTTACTCATATTCCAAGTAATGGTCTATCAGAAACAGTTTTACCCGTGCTTACCACTTTAAATATGTCATTTAATTCGTTAGTTCAGTTAATCCAAATATATCCTTTAAAACAATTTCCACTGCTTGAAGAATTGATCGTGACTAATACCAACTTAACAATAATTACAAGCAAGGATTTCGAAAATTTTCCGTCACTAAAAAGATTGATTTTAACGGAAAATAGCATTATTCGTCTTTCTCCCGGGGCATTTTCAAAATTACATAATCTAGAGGTTTTGGACTTAAGCCAAAATAAATTAGAAAATATTCCTAGAGAGAGACTTCAAGGTTTATACTCTGTTCGGTTACTCAACATTTCTCGAAATATTTTAAGAGATCTAGAAGAATTTACGCCTGATTTACAAAATTTACAAAAATTAGATATATCAATAAATCATTTAACAAGAATTACGAAAGACAGTTTTCGGAATCTGTACAATCTTATTGAACTCCACTTGAGTGGAAATTGGTTGTCAGTAATTTCGTCTGACGCATTTAATAATTTACGCAAGATAATATATATAGACCTAAGTAGAAACTATATTGAAAAAATTCAAATGAAGATCCTAATGGGATTGGAAACGAAAACAAAATCCTTATTTATTGAAGGTACGTATAATGAAGTATAATTGACTAGTGTGTCAATATATATATATTTATTTTTGCTGTATATTTTCGACTTAAAGAGTTCTAGTTAAGATATCTTTATACTATTTTTTACATATGAAATATTCCCATTATACTGTCCCATCTAGTGAGTAAAAAAAAAAACAGATCTACACAATTGTAAAAATATACTATTTAATAAAATTATGTTTCAGAAAATCCTTTCACATGTAACTGTGAATCGCAAGACCAATGGATATGGATGCAAGAACATCGAAAAATTGTCAAAAAAGGGCTAAATAACTTATTTTGTGAACATCCTGAAGAATTGCAGGGAATGCTTTTTATAGAACTGACTCCGCAGAAATTGTGTGATTTGCCCATTGTGATACGAGTAGCGATACAAGATATTCAAACATATTCAGTAATTGTATCATGGCAAAGCCGCAATCACTCTGGTTTAAGTGGATATCAAGTGGCTTATTTTGGGGAACAGAATCCAACTAGTGTAAGTAAATATTGTCATTACTAGTCTAAACGTAACTTTTTGAGTAAAAACGATAGTATGAAATAATAAATGATGTCTATGTTCACAGATAAGAGGGAAAATTCTTAATCATACTGCTCGTTCAACAAGATTAAACCATTTGACTCCTGGAACACGCTATTATATATGTGTTATAGCTATTGGAAATATTGGAATTTCGACAGATTCTTCAATACCCGACGCTAGAATTGCAACTCCAAAAGAAAACCCAAGTACATCTATATTTGGTGATGAGCATCAGCTCAACCATTTAAGATATGCGATGAATGATTCCTTAACTACCAAATGTACAAGTGTGAGTACTATTGAAATATTTGGGACAACACTAGATAATCCCTTTTCTAACAATTATTTGGGTATTGCCGATATATTAACCAGGCGATTAAGTTTAGTCGTTGGGTGTTGCATAGGATTTTTAGTATTCGTTGTACTGGTATCAGCATTGGGCTATATAAAAACAAAAAAACGATCAACTGTCGTTAAATCGGAAGTTCAACAAACCCCTCAATATATATCGTACGACAATTTTGCTTCACCAAATCCAGACCCACAGACGACGGAAATGGATTTGAATACTATTACAGAAAAAGGCAAATTGCAATTCAAACATCCCTAATTTTTCAAATTCCGTTGATAAAAAATTATAGTATTATAGTAGGTATACCTTTGTTACCTTTCAACTTCATCGAAAACAGTTAACAAATCACTGCACCTACCAATATTATCAAGGTTTTTCACTTTGAACATTGTATTCTGGAATACCATAGAATAAATGATTCCTTGTATATGTGCGAACGCTAAATATTATTGTAAAAAACTAAACGTTATTTTTTTAATTTGTCCAGCGACATATAAATGATAGGTATTTAAGATGAACGTATTTTATATAACCATGATTTATTCTGCAAAGTGAACCAAAAAATAGTTGGAAAATTTAATTTGTGGGCGATTTCATATTTAAAAGAAGTTGTGAAGTGATTGCATAATTTTTTTGGATTGTATAAAATAAATTAAGCACTTAATTTTATTAGATAGTTAGTTGATTATTTACTTTAAAAAAATTATGCAGTATAACTAATTAGTAGTGACTTATGTAAGTTTGTAAGAAAATGTATAAAATAGTTTAAATGTGAAAAGTTATTTCATAATTTAGTTGCAACCAATGTATAATTATTGTAATTAGATGTAACTATAAATGATTGAAAATCATACTATATTATAATTTGATATCAGACTATATAATATAATATTTAATAATCATTTGTAGGATTCTGGTACCATACTGTATTTATTTAATGTATTTATTTTACGTTTTTTATTTTATTCATAATTTTATATTTTTTTCACAATAGCCATTTATCTATACTGTTGTTTAAATTAAAACACAGATGAAGTAAATAAGTATTGACTTTATTTACAAAAATTATGCCCTATAATATTATATATAACATTTTCTTATGTTAAAGCTTTTGTTTAGTAATTTCACATTGACTTTGCTATGTTGATGTCGGATTTATTTTTTTACATCATACAACAAAAAGGTTTTGTTTGATATTGAGTATAAAATAAAACAAACATAGGCTAAGAGATATTTTTAATAGATATTTGGCTGATATTCTTCTGGACTATAAATCTTCTGCCGGTGCAACAAACACGAAGTGGTATCGTGTCGCTGCGAAGTTATTACTTCGCAAGACGCATGACACACAGTTTACCCAGTTCTCTTACTACAGAAATGGGTAAACTATTACCCTTACGGCCGGTTTCTGAAACACTAATCATCGTAAATGTTAACTAATCAGCTGTCAAATGGCTTTTCAAATGTTATTTGGGTTGTCAATAGTATTGTTAAATTCTTGAATTGATCATTCTTATTATTAAGAAGATCATTCTGATCAATTCAAAGAGTTTAACAATCCTTTTGGAAACTCAAACAACATTTGAAAAGCCATTTTACAGCCGATTAGTTGACATCTACGATGATCATTGTTTCAGAAACCGGGCGTTAGTGTTATACTTTGTCGAGGTGCTTAAATACGACGCATCGAAGCATTTACTGCTGGAAGTGGCCACGAAGAATTTTTAAGTCGGACAAAAACCCAACATACGTCTTCGGTATATCTGGTTATTTTGGAAAAAAAATAATTACATGCCTAAGACAGAAAAAAGGCCATAATTTTTAAGCTACTACCAAATAACATTATTCTCTATCCGTTTTTCCGAACATTTTCATCTACCTTCAAAAAGCTTTTCTTTTGATCTTTCATTCTTTTTATATTTAAAACCTGATGTTTATAATGAATGTATTTTATGAAGATGAAGACTTTGTGCCTCATGAAATACTTACTACTAATCTCAAATTTCCGCTTCTGAATACTTCTTCATTATTTTAAAGATAGAGCTACAATTAAAATTTGTAGAAAAAAACAGAGCTACAAGTTGAATTTTTGAAAAGTAATATTTAAACATTTCTTGTGTATAAAATCTTCAAAAAGGATTTTTGATTTGAGCCCCATCACAGTTATCACAATCAAAACGACCCAAATACTGCGAATAATCTGAAGACTCGAATGCAAGGAAGCAAGGTGTGTCTGTCAATGGTCTTCTGTTAATGATATTAAGGGTGTTGTTATGATGACTACTTTGCAAAAGACGACACAATAAATTCGGCGTATCACTCCGTCCTCAGAAGTCATTAATGCGAATTGAACATACACAATGTTCATGAAATTGAAGGACGTGCATTGATTTCTGAACGGGATAAATATTTTTATGATCAACCAAAATACAAAATTATGTATATCAGATCTGATTCTTTTAGCTATTTCCAATGTAGTTTGCTAAATCAACAGAGATTATAATGTTCCCCTTTTCTTATAAAATGAAGTAATTAAATATTAAACATTACGGAAAGAACATAAATAAATTAGCGAAATGCGCAGCTGCTCGCATTGCTGTGATTCTACCACGAGAAAAACTTTATGATTTCACATCAACTAAATGATCATCATGCAATAAATAAACATACTAATAAAACATTTTATTTTAGAAACTTAAAATGTGAAGAATTTAAAAACAGAGCCACGAGGCAATATTGTAATTACATATGTATATTTCTGAATCTTTTATATGTTTCGTATAATCTCCTTTTACCGTATCTTTTTGTGATAAGTTCCTTTAGTGATAACTCCGTGGCGCAGTTGCCAAGGTATTGGCTTCGGCGTCGGAGGTCGTGGGTTCTATTCCCACACGGGACAACTATTTATGTGAACCACAGATAGTTGTTTCGTATCTGGTTGGTTGTCCACTTGAAATTTATGTTTGTAAAACGTTCCTACAACACAGGATATTGTTATCCTAAAGTAAGGGCAATGTGTTTTACAATTTAATTTGTTTTAGTTGTGTACTAGGAGTAAGGGCTCCAGGGGAAACATATTTCAAATATTTTTAATAAAAGAAACAAATTAAATGTCAACAATAAAATTCCTCCACACTCCTCCACATCGAAATATATACAATGAAAATAAATAATGTTTTGTTGTAAAGAGGAAAAAAATTTTCCTTAAAATCAAAAGAAGATTAAGCATTCAATAAATAGGTGGCATAACACGAACTGATTTATTATTCATATTATAAAAAGTTCATATCAATTTTTAACTTTAGCTGCTATAACAGTAAATACAACTCTATATTGTATAGTTTCTAATAGTAACATAATGAAATATGTGATTAAAATTTTAAGCTTATATTTAGTATAAAAAAATATAACAAGCCTTAACAAATGTTACACAAACATTTTATTAACATTAAAAAATACTATACTAATAAAATTTTAATTATTAAGAACTTATATGCCACCTTTCTTGCTGTTCAAACTCAAAAAGTATTTAAATTTAACGAGATATCACATTTACAGAAAACAGCCAGTCGTTCAATGACCATAGTTTACAAACTGAATATGAAATGTATGCAGCAGAAATCCATTCATGCGAAACAAGTGAACGCACAATAAATACGAAGCGACGCCGGTTTTGCCGGAAACATTTCCACCAACTCCCAGTGAACAAAAAGAGCTACTACCGACAGCAGTGCTTTCTATTATATATTGAGGATTGACAGCCGTTTTTTGTTTATTATCTGAAGGAACATTATAACACTAATTTTTTCGTTTATAACAACACCCTTAAAATCATTAATAGAAGAAACCATTACCTTGCTTCCTTGCATTCGAATCTCCAGATTATTCGCAGTGTTTGGGTCGTTTGGATTGTGATAATTGTGGGTTCCGGTATCATCCATGTTTAAAAATCTTTTGGTAAAATTTTGCAAATCAGCTTTAAAGCAAGAAATTGTGAAGTTTAAATTTTGTTTGAAATTTTGTCCAAATTTTTCCAACTAACTTAATATAAGTTAGTTGTTTATGATGTTTTACGTTCGTTTAGACGAAATATCTAAGCTTCCTGTATAGTCACTCTCTGGTCTAAACGATTAGAGACACTTATGAGATCACACGTCTCGGATATTTTCTTTAGTCATATTTATAATACAAGCCGGCGGAACAAGAGGCATCTTGAATACTCAACAGAACATTAACGATTTAAAATGTAACCAAAATGTTGCAAATCATTTTGTTCGCATTTTTCCTACAGTGGTCGAAGAAGAGAATTCTTCAAGTAGATCTTGGGTGTTAATTTTTTAACACTACACTGCGGCCGCTCGTTGTTCATCCATTTTATGAAATTATTAGATAAGTCAGAATTCACTGTTTTTTTATTTTTATTTAAAAACCGTACATGCTACTACAAAAAAAGTTCGCATTGCAACAACAACAAACCAAATGAACCTATTGACAGAAGAGATTTTTAAATATAAATTGTCGGACTGCGAATATTTCATGTACGAGGCAGAGTAGCATCACACATGATTTCTTGCTGACGTCATTCTATATTGCTTAGCTTAGGTTTATATTGCTTATTGCTCAATCATAAGCCTTGTTTATTTCTTTTTGCTTATGTTTGTTTATTTTATTACAGTACCAAAAATTATAATTTTATTTACAGACTCTCAACTTTTCCCCCTAATATTATTCGGTTAAGTGAAGACATCGCAACTGAAGCGGTTCAGCACAACACGGTTCGTTTTGTTAGTTGTCTATTTTCTTATTGTATTAAATATAATTCTAGCTTCTTTATTTTTGAATTTTGTTAGAAGCTTTTTAATAGACCGTTTATGAATATTTGGACACGAACGTGAAGAAATCAAAGTTTCTGACCCTTCTCAAGCATGTCTTTTTCATTTTCAAAACTGAGGTATATTTTCTGTTTTAATGTGGCGATTTTTAGAAAATTATATTAACGATTTTCGCTGTGGCTTATCCAGCAGACAACAAACTTGCACAACCTCCAGACATAAATGCAAAATATATTACTTTTCAATGGCTAAACATTAGCTGACGAGTTATTTCTTGTCATTTTCAAAAAAGGTAAAGGTATCAGTAAAACACAGTGGCCGGCTCACCATCGCGTACATCGTCATGAAAACGATCTACGTGATCGTTCACGACGAAATTCTTTAAAACACGGATATAAAGAGCTGCGACGCCAGCCGAAGTCTCTGAAGAATGTGTTTATTTTTGTTCAAAAACAGTACGGGTATTTTTGTCGACAGTCTAAGCCAGGGTTATGTGTCTAATATTTCGAAGGCATGTCGGATCGAAATGGAAATGGAACAATTTGGCAAAATTCCTATCCCTACACGCTAACTGAAGTGGTTTCTAATGTAAAATGGTTACTGAGAAGTGCGTGTAAACATAAAATTCTAACATGAAATTATTTACGTCGTATGTTCACATCGTGTCTAACATTACATGAAATATTAGTTGAAATTAAAAACGCAATGTCTTAAGTATAGTATGCCCCATAATTTCTGACAAAATTTTTTACTCATCGTCTATAGTTTCCTTTCCCATAATCAATATAACAATCGTTTGTTGAAGATAATCATTGAACTTATTAAAAAGACTCAATCAAATATCAAATAAATATTTACATAGAACCTAACCCACCTAGTATTTTGCGCCAAGCATTGATTACAAAAACAATATAGTAGATAAAATACGATGAGATATTCGTTGGTGTTGCAATCAGCCGTTAGTAGTCTGGAAGACATGGGTTTGATTACCACAGCGGGGAAAACTTGTTGTACTACAAATTTTAATGTTTAATCTTAAGTGCAGAGATTAGCACTATAAAATGTAAATTTAATGTAAAATTAAATGTATATTTCTAAAAAAGCAACGGGAGATCTCTCGTTAGAATTATCCTTGTAAACGATATTTTAATTTTTTGTCTGCTGTAAAGGAGATAACAATAGATTCGCCAAGCATTGCTTTACATGAAAAAACAATAAAATACGTTAAATTTTTGTCGGTGTAGCAATAAGCCGTTCTGATTAGTGGTTTAAGCGTCTGGGCCGCGAACCCGGTAGACGTGGGTTCAATTTTCACAGCAGCGATTTTCGTCCATTTTTTCAACAATTTTAAATCAAAATAAAATCCATAAAATAGTGTCCTTAAACAGTTCACATTCTTTTTAAATATAATTAATTGTAAATGAGAATCCCATGGCTTACTTTGTTAACATCCCAACTTTATTCATTAGCGTGTTTTGTCTGCAAAAATTAACAGACAGGTCGAATACTTCCCGTACAGACATTTCGCGTCTCGCTTCGTTATGACTTATAGAAATTATTTTAAAGTTGACCTAATGAAAAACGTGTTAATTAATGTGTGAATTCAATCTAACTCAATGATAACAAGCAAAAAATATACTGTGTGCGTAGATAAAATATCTTCTTTATAACTACCTCTCTTCTTTTTCAATATTGTGACCAAAGGTAAAATTAGGAATCACGAATTAGATTATCAGAGACTTCTACTTTCAGTTTCAGCCAAGGAGATAACTAACAAATCAAACAGTCTGGATTTTTCATGTACCTATGTAAATATTATATTTAAATGTTATATTTACAATTTTATGGTAGTGATAAAAGTAAAAGTAAAAAACTCACTACTCAGAATATTACACAATAAGTTAAGTATACTTAAAACACTTTTATTACTTGTGAACGATTTTTAAGTTTATTTTGTAATAACTTACATTCAAACGTTAAATAAAATTAATTTTATATCACAATACAGTAATGTAGTGTTTCTCCTCTTAAAAGCCCTAACTTTGTTATTGGCTCTAGATAATGAAACACATAGTTTTGCCATTCAATGTGGGCAACTTTCCAATAGATTTGCAGACATGCAGTCAGTTTCAGTTTAAAAACAGTTTTCCACTTTCTAGCTGAATACGCGAATTGTTACAAAATCTTTGACTCAAGCCTATGTTTTGTTGCTTTTAAGGTGAATTATGATGCATTTTAGTCAATGTTTTATACTATTTATTTAAACCAAATTAACTTTATTGCATTACATACTAAAGCGATGATATGCTTATATCCGATTTCCTTTAAAAATAAGTACCAATTTATAAAAAGTAATTTCACAGACTCAATTGGATTAAAGAAATATAAAATGCCATCACTCTAAAGACGGGCAGTTGGCAATACATGTCGAGAGCCACTAAAATTTATTGCTGTGTTTATGGTCTCACTAACTTTCTTATATTGATGTCAGGGGAGAAGTGGACGGTAGTTCTGGTGAAGCATATAAAATAAAGCAAATTGATAAAATTAGTAATTTTTTGATTTATACAATATTTCATTACTAGTACACTCATTTGCAGAAAAAAGGGTGATTTCTAGTGAGAATAATATGAAAAATGTTTTAATCAATATGAACATGTGGATGGATGTGAAATTGTGTTTCGGTGTACTTTTATCCCAAAAGCACACTGGCTGATTTCAATAGCTAACTAAACCGTCTGAAGTAATCGATCTGGCAATCTCTACTCCTTGCTAAATATTGGCACCTCACCGCAAAGATTGGACCTGGAAGTCAGGCTGCCTATCCAATATTTAGTCCAGATGAACACGTGGGGACGATCACGGCGTGGAATTTTTGTTCGTTTGCTTTTGCTTAGTCCTCCGTGACGGGAAGGTGGTTGATAGCAAAGAGATCCTGTCGTATCACCACTACATTCAATTTGATCAGATCCCTTGACCGACCCAAGCCGACCCACGAGGATTGTTTGCGCTTCTTCATCTGGACGTCAGAGAGTTAAACATCCTCTCTCCTGTAATGGCAGAGAAACAATCATGATAAATGAAAATTTTAAAGAAAAAACTAAAGATTGAGGATGACAGTGAGTTTCAATGACATCATGTCATTGAAACTCACTGTCATCAGAATTTACTGTTTCAATGACATGATATCATTGAAACAGTAAATTCTGAGAGAGCTTGAAAGGTTTTACGGACAGGTGTAGGTGGGTATACCCATGTTCAGAAAAACTCCGTACCAGAGCTAGGGTGACCCTACACTACGATAGAAAACAGCTCAGGAGCGAGATGGGTTCTCGCTCCTGAGCTGTTTTCTATCGTTTACAAATAGCCTTGAATGCAGGTTTAATGACTTCTAGCCTTCCGATCAAGCCGGGTTCCGAAAAGGCTTTAGCACTATAGAATATATCCACACTGCTCCGACACATTATACAGAAGACGGAGTAGTATAAACGGCCATTATATTTAGCCTTTAATTAATTTAAAACCTGAGTGGTATTGCATTCCCTTTAGTCATATTGACTGTAGGTATATCGAAGTGCTAAGGTGTTTCTATAGAGCCCGTGTCTATCAGACTACAAATGGATAGCCCCAAAATAATTGAATCCAAAAGAGGCGTGAAACTTCCTTGCTCCAATACTTTTCATAACCGCATTTTAGGGTGTTATCAAGCTCTTGGACTGGGACGAATACGGCATCAAATCACTTTTGTTTTGCCGAATTATAGTCATTACGGCAGAGTCTCTGAAGAACCTTTTAATATTCAACGATCTCATTTTTTTTCTACAGCTCGGTTTTAAAATGATCATGGGCGAAACTAAAATCATGTCGAATTTCCATGTTGTCCGGTTTTTATAGTTTATTGTTGGAAGCCCTCCCCAAGTTATAGACCACTATACCTTTGACAAAGAAAACCGAACATTACTCGATTAAACTGTTAAAGAACATCTACACTCGAATGACTAGAATCGGCAGTAGTCGTACGATTATTATTCGAAGGTAGAATTGATGAAAAATATATTTCATTCCCAATTCCTATTGCTTTAGATTACTAGTAAGTAATAATGAAATTCTGATGAATATTAATTTCAGTCGTAAAGTTTCCAGCCCCTAGACAAAATGAAGTTTGTAACTTTGGATAGTGGACATACAATAGTTGGCTGGTAAGTTTAATTACTTGACGTTGCCGCAGGGGAATTGCAAACACCCATTGTTATATATACTTATTCTATACCTATATCTTATGAAAATAACTTATATATAGATTTTTTCTGAATTAAATCGCAAAATCAATACCTTTCGCGGAATAAATAAACGTCATTATAAATCTTTTGTGACGGAGTCATAACGTGCGGTTCTTTGTTAACTAAAGTTGAGCCCTTACATTTGTTACCAGCCTATTCTGCATAGCAAATCAACTATATAAGTAATAGGTATTGAGTAGGTAGTATATTGAACAAAA